AACCAGAATTTCTCAGTTGAAAATCCCGCAGAAACTGAATGAACCAATAAGAACACTCGTAACTGGGGAAAGGCGCCCACCAGCGGCCGAGCGGTAAAGACGCTGAACACTGGTAGTTCGGTCTGAGGTTCGAATCCCGCGAACGGGCTGGCTGCATGGGCGTTTTCGTGGTTTTCCCCATGTGTAACGTGTATACGAGCCAGTTTCCCTTAGAAAGTCCTCCACGAAAGGCATCCCTCCCTTTAGGCAGATAGCCCTCGTGTGCTTTGCTATAATTAAATACACCACACCACAACACACACCGTAACTGGGGGAAAAAAATCCGCAAGAAACCGCAAGTGACGGTTACCCGTGGAACAAGAGAGAGGAGGAAAGATGACGGACTGGCTACCACACACAATTCTTCGTTGAAACTTTGCGTTTGTGTCGCTTTGCATACATGCGTAGCAGCGATGGCGTCACCGGGTGCTGTGTTTCTGTGCATTATGCACCACTCCACGACCCAGACAAGTGTATTCTTGGCTTTAGTGCGATTTTTCTAACAAGAAAAGTTTGTTATCTGCTTTAGTAAGCCCCAGTGATTTTCATAAGTCATACTACTTATTTATTTATTAATACATGCTCCGCCAGTCGGAAAGATAGAGATGTCCCGTGGAGGACTTTTCGAGGGAAATTGGTTCGTATCACTTTAGAAACTGCGTAAAACCACGAAAACGCCAAAGCAGCCAGCCTGTTCGCTGGGATTCGAAACCCGAAACGAAGTGTTCAGCGGTTTTTACTGCTCGATCGCTTTTGGGCTCTAATTTATACTAAATACAATTTTTAACCTTAACATTCAAGATTATGGATTGCTGGTTGAAATCTGGAACTTTTAAATTGAAAGAAAGGAGCGATTATAGTAACAATCAACAAACAGAAACATTGAAATTAACGAGGGTGAATCACCTTTAAATCTGAACGAACATGTTAAGAAAAAAGCAAAGACAATTCGCAAGTACGTCAAAGAATATCTTAAGTTTGGATTCTCTTGGAATAGTGCTGAAGAAGAGTCTATTCCACTTTACTTCATTTGTTCTGAAAATATAATAAGTGAAAGCACGAATATATCCAACTTAATGCGTCGTTTTGAGACAAATCGCAATCAATACAAAGATAAACGAATCGGATTTTCTAAGAACAATTTAAGGATTTAAATGTTTCGAAATGTTATGCCAGATTTGAGAAGAGTAAAAAAATTCTAGAAGCTTCGTATCGCGTGTCGCTTTTAATTGCGAAATGCAGTGAAGACGATTGGGAAATTTCAAATCAAGCCTTTAGTCAAGAAGTGGAAGTAGTAATGATGACAAAAATCAAACTTTTGACTGCGTTCCATCTCAAATAATACACTTCATAGATGAATCACTGATATTTTCAGTAATGTAAAACTGATGCTATTATTTTATACAGAGTTTAGTTCTTTATTTGCAATACATTTTATCTATTTATTTCTCTTCTTCATCTAATACAAACAACTTTGAAGAATTTTATTTGCTGACACTAAGAAAATCATTAAATTCATCTTGAGGTTCTTCTAAATTAATTGCTTGGCGATATCATTCAAGACGAAGTGTGCTAATTAGCCTGGCAAAGCTTAACCAGCAGAGTAATGTTCATGTTATTACGAAGGTAGAAAATTTATATTTTAGGTTATTCACTTTCTGACGCATTGCGGTCAGTAAAAACAAGAAAATTGCACAATGCAATTCCAATAAAGTGAAAAGAAAACCTCTAGATTATATATAAAGAATCGAAAAGAGATAAAGAAAGGGAGACAAAGCATTTCGGACGGAGCACTCATGGCCATAAAATTCTTTACATAATTGAAATAAAATCATAATTATATATAAACGGCTGAAAAAAGTCTTCACGTGGGCTAATTTTAGATGGAGTAATATCTTAACAAGCTCTTCTATTCTATTGTTTTTCAAACTATAATTTAGCACTCCTATTTTCTAAACCTTAATGTAAAGGTTAAAAATACGTTCCGGAAACATTTTTTAAGACACAAATATTGATTTAATATAGATTTATTTAATCAGAGTTTGATATAAAATAAGTAAAAGATTAAAAACTACTTCACAAATTTCTGAAAAATAGGCAATTATACACAAATGGTTTTTGGAAGTTTAATACTTATGTTAAGTATTTTATATTTCTTTCAAATGCATATATTTTAAATTTCTTTGATATAGTACTCACTTGTATTATAGGATAAAAATCTTGCATTAGTTCTAAAATTTACTAAAATATGTTAAATTACATGAAAAAGCATAGATTTTGTTTTATAATTCTTATTATTTTGCATAGAAATGTCTATTAAATAGTCATATTAATAGACAGAGATTAGCGTTTAGCTTCAAACATAGTCAATTTTATATATAACACTGTAACGAAATTTCACAGAAATAGCTTTAAAATTTATAGAGTAGCTATATTTCTTGGGTGTAAAAACACCAAAAACGCACTTAAAGATTTCCCACTAGGAGAAAAACTGTTTCGTTGTGCTTACTTGCATAAAATCCACTCCTTCTTTACATCAAACTCTTCTTATCCTCAGATTTAAGTAATTATTATTTCCTTTTCACTTTTAAAATTTCTTGTAGTTCTATTCAAAACGAGGAATGAATAACTTTTCGAGTTCCTTATATATTCGTCGTCAATTCCAAATAATTTTTAATAATTTCTTCTTCAAATGATGTATCTAAGTACTCAAATTCACGAAACCCTGAATTAAAAAATAAAACTGTTATATATGTATCCAGTAGCGAAGTCTCCACTCCTAGAAAAGTTTCTTTGAAAAAAAGTGTCCATAATTCATTATTAAAACTCTCGTTGCAATTTTAAGTCATTACATGTAAACATTTCGAGGATAAGCTTTTATCATATAGAACTCAAATATTTACAAAAACAAACAGACGAAACAAAACAGATTCTGGAATACCAGAAGATTTATCTGAAAATTTCAATCCTCTTTCATAATCTATACCAATTGTTTGCTCTTATTGGGCATTGTCTGTGCATGTCTTTGTTTTTTATTAGAGTATCAATTGAAAAACCAGCAATAACTTCCGACTGCATATTCTGTAAATTTACTTCATTGCGACGGATACAAATTACAAAATAATTCTGTAATTTATTGATATATTTATTCCTTAATTTGCCTTTTTCGCCTAACCATTTTTTGTCTTTTTTGTGCTTTTTCAAATGGCCAAGTAATAATCACCAGGGACAAGAAAAAAGATCCAGTATTAAAATAAAATGATTTAGTAGAATTTTCAATAGGTAAAAAATAAAACGTTGGTAACACTAGTGTTTATCTTTAAGTTCAAACATTTATATGGCACTTTCGATCATTCCGTTTTCACTTCCGTTGGAACAAAGTGGGTATATATTGGTAAATTGGGTACATCTGCAGTAAATTGGGTATAAGCATAAAAATAAACCATTTTTGGAATCTTAGGATACTACTACTTCAATGAAGCAATAAAAAATTCGAATCTTATTTTACCAGAATGTTCTTTTTAACGTATGCAAATGGCTTAAATATAATAGTTTAAATATAATTTCTGGGGTTCTTTGAATTTCTGGGGTTATTTCCTAAAGTAGTGCGCTTTTTATTTGCGTTATGATTTTAGTTTTTATTTGCAGTGCTTTTTATATACTTACTTCTCTAATACAAACAACTTTAAAGGATTTTATTTGTTGACAATCAGAAAATCATTAAATTCATCTTGATGTTCTTTTAAATCAATTGCTTGGGGATATCTTTCAAGATAAAGTGTGCTAATTAGCTTGGCAAAGCTAACCCAACAAAGTAAATGTTTCGTGTTAGTACGAGGGTAGAAAATTTGTTTTAGGTTATTCACTTTCTGACGCATTTCGGTCAATAAAAACAAGAAAAGTGCACAATGTAATTCCAATAAAGTAAAAAGAAAAACCTGTAGATTAGATGTAAAGAATCGTAAAAAGATAAAGAGAGGGAGAGAAAGCATTTCGAATGCTGTGAAATCAAACTACACGAGCTCAATAAAGTGATTTACTCGATAAGTAATGATGTAATTTTCTCTAACTGGGTCAAAAACTATATGTCATTCTCAACACATTTACTGCGAATATCCTGGTATTGGTTAGATACATAATATGCAAGTAAAACAGGCTAATGTGAGATTTAAAATTAAATAACAAGACAAAAACAGTAGTCACAAAAGGATTCATTAGTATTGGATTCCTTCTGTGTCTCCATAATAGAAGTTCCACAATTGCTCAGGTTTCATATTTCTGGCAAGGTTCCATATTTGCCAAACACCGTACGTCTTTTTGAATGGAACTTTTCCTTTTTTAAATACCCTAAATTTGATTCGGTATTTTATGACTCTTTGTTTTATAATTGGACAGTAACCTATGCATAACTCAACCAGCACAAGAATGTTCAGAAAATGTACAGCGTTTGTTACTGGAAAAGGTGTCGGTAACGTTTTAGAAAAACGTTCTAAATCATATATGTACGTTACAGTTCTCTAACGCCAACAGCGCGTCGTTCACCGATGCTAGTAGCTTTCTTATCCTACTAACAACGTTCGCATACGACATTCGATGCAACGCTATGACAGGGGGTTTATATAATATATATGAAACGTTCTATAAAGAACGATCTAATTATAATTTAATCTAAATTAATCTAATTCGATATAAATTTTAATTTAGGAAGCAGAATATTTTAAGCATAAGTAGAGAGGAATATTTGAATGTTAAACACGTAAATTAGAGCTTAGCGACTTTATTAGTATGTATCTACGGGTTGTATTTATTGTAATTTTTTCCATCTGTTTAACTAATTATTCTTACAATTTTTTTACAGCAATTAAACTGTGCTCATCAATGTTAATTCCTTTGTGCTTTTCATCATTGAGGTTAATTGTGGTTTAACAAGTTACATGTTTGTAATACACAGAAAAAAGAAATTAAAAAGAAAAAACAATTTATTTTACAAAACAATGTAAGTAACAATAAAATATAAATATTTATTTCTACATTTCAAAAGACCTTATAATTATTTTTAAATGTTTTTCCTTTATGCAAAATGATTATATACTAACTATTCTTAATCATCTAAAATAACAATGACTGATAGATTTGAGAAAGTATATATTACAACAGTAAGTATGTACACGTTTTAAACAAATAATTTTCAAGATATTTCACTAGTTCGAATTTAACCCTTAAAAAATGAAATGTGCTACAAATCATGATAATCATATAACAAAAAGAATATTTTATACACTTAACGAAAAACGTGATAAATATATTAACAAGTATTTAAAAATGTGAATGTATAACAAAACTAAACACAAAGAGCTAAACATATTTAAAACATTTTGTTGAGATATACATTTGGGCCAATGTGCATACAGCAATTATGCATTTTGTGCCATAAAATTTATATTATCTGTGACATCACGTTTTTTAGTTCACTTGACTGACAAAACTTGTTAAAAAGAAATTATTTTTTGTAGTAGTTGACCAATTCAGGAATGTTGACGTAGTATTTCAGGCACTCTGGATTCTTGATATTGTTCACTTCTGGAATCTTATTCGTTGCAAGGATTTTTCGAACCACACTTTCCATCCTTTTATTGTTCAGGTTGTACTAACAAAAGGAAAAAAAATACAGACTTTTGTACCGGTTACAGTACGCGTACATTTTAAAACTGACGTAAAGATTTAAAATAAAATTTGAAACACATAAAAATAAAAAGATAAATGTTTATTTTTAAAATGCACTTAAATAAGAAAAATGTTACTTTAATTGATAATAAATTACGACATTTTCCGGTGAATGTCAACATACACATAATCGCTTGGTACGGTCCGAAATATCTACTAAATATTCTTACTTCTCACTTACACCGAAAAATGTCGACATTCGTAATGCACTGTTAGTGAATGTAATGCACTGTTACTACCATAAAAATAGTAATATATGTTTATAATAAATCTTTCTAAACGGCGTTCATTTCAAAATTAATCCCTGGAATATGATTATTACATAACTCTAATGACGCTCGTACTTGCGTAATGGCTAAATAGGATGTAAAATCTTTTACCCAATTAGAAATAAATGGAAACTAAACCAACAGCAATAAAGCAATATTATGTCTGCCTGTTGAGAAGTGAGGTAAGTACAACATTCTTAATCTAATATCGGCAAGCACAATCTTTACTACAGTTACTTTTGCGTCTGTCTAGATAATATGTTGCTAGCTGCAGCTTCACATTTTCCATTTCCAAATATAATTGCACGAAGTAAATCTTAAGTGATGATTATCTATGAATTACGCTTCAGTAAGATATTCTGAAAAAGTGTCTACTTCTTCAAAATATTCTACAGCATCAAAAAGTTTATTACATGTACGTAGGCGTCCAAACGATTTAAAAAAAAATGGAATGAGAGCACTGGAAGCAAAGACTTCGTAGTTACAGAACATGCCATCAAGCCATATTACCTTAGGATTTTCGGCACTAATATGTCAAATGGCATCAATCTGAATAAAGCGTTTCATCCTCATTACTCATTACGCGTATTCTTGCTCAGAGTGTCCAGCAACTTTTATAATGTGCGATCACAAAGAACAAAGCATGGGAGCAAAAGTTCGTTTTTTTTTTTTTTTTTTTTTTAAATTAATATCAGCTGAGACCCTTGCTGTGCCTCTACACATTCAATCATAAATGTACCAATTTCGAAAATGGCGACTTATATGATTGCTACGACTTGGACATCCACTGCTAAGCAGAACCGAGGAATGCATTGAGTTGATCGATTACCAATCGTTGAAAGATCATTCACGAGATTTCTGAGAAAATTCTTTCCGTCCGACAATACTTATGGAAGAATAATATGGTGCTTTTGACTCACTCACGCTCCTCGTCTTACCAAAAGTAGTAATTCTAAATTTAGATTATTACTTTTGATTAAATATCGCCTTCGTCTTCTAATTTCATCAACAGGAAATAAAATGCGAATAATCATGAAATATTTTATGAAATCTAAAAATATTAGAAATAACACCTCAGAAATAAATCCTATCGACAATGCTCATTTCTCAGAAACAAAAAATGTATATCCAAAGGGCGTAAGGGCTCTTCTGAAATGAGAGTGAAATTCCAGAGAGATATAAATGCCCTTTAAGAATAAGTTCTCTATTTAATATTTTTCTTAGGGCATTAAATAAGATGTGTAGAACTCTATATATATGGTAATAAAATCCAGTCTCATGGAGTTTGAGATGCTGGAACTACACAAGATTCATGGGAAAAAATGAAAGTAAAGAGATATTTTTCATAAATTAATAAGATTTGTTTAGGCTATAATATTACCATGAAAGACCGAAATCTGGTGACTGTCGACATTTTCAGGTGAATGTCAACATACACATAATCGCTTGGTACGGTCCGAAATATCTACTAAATATTCTTACTTCTCACTTACACCGGAAAATGTCGACATTCGTAATGCACTGTTAGTGAATGTTGAATAAAAATATTTTTGTTACGTTTTCAAATCTTACTTTATTAAAACGTATTGTGATAAATGTCAAAATAGGAAAAAGCTTAAGCAACAGCACATCTAAATAAACTGTTGAACTTAAAACGAAGAGTACATTCTAAATGAGAAAAGGTAGTAACGCCAATAATACACTTACTGAATTATGTGACTGACGTTATACAATATTCCAAAACTTAATGTTATGACACTTTGAACTGCACGAGAGTCCCTTGCTTTTACAACGTCTCTCTGTTTGCCTTCTCGTCTTATTGTTTCGACCTTCACAGAGCATATGTGATTGTCGACATACATCGGTGATATTCTGAATGTATAAGAATATAACCAAATATTCGGTCTTTTACCTTTCACAGGAACAGTAACATTACATGTTAAAATTTTAAGGGGCAGAAAGTAGATAGTAGATAGCAGACGGACTTCTGGGTTATAGGCCCAGCACACTTTCACTGCAGCATTCTGCTTGCAGAATCTTCTTTTCCTAATACATGCACAAAGCTTTTAACGAAGTTTTTAAACGAATGAAATTTAGAAATCTTTTATTAAAAAAGTTTACATTGCTGAATTCAGAAATTAGAAATGAGACTGTTTTTGCATTTTAATGTTACTTGGTTTGATTTTTTATATTTTATTGGAGAAAATAGCTCTGAAGATATTGACAGAGATTGTCATCTATTTAGGAAATAGAAGTACTGGAAATAAAATGTAAAAATCTCATAGTACCTTTAAAGAATAAAGTTTTTGAAATGAAAAGTGTTGTAGAAGAACAAATACTTCCTGACGCAACAATGTTCATTAAAAGGTTATTATGCCTCCCTCATCCGTCAGAAGCAACTGAAAGATCACCTTCTTTACAGTAGCAGCAGTAAATTAAGTTAAAATAAGAAACCCACTATACTATTTTGAAGAAAAAGAATGACTCCTTCTGGTTAAGAAAGAATTAAAATATTGGCGAGCATCAAATTTTACTACTTAAGCGTTAATTAATTTTAGCAAATCTGCTTGTAATAATGATTAATATTAAAATGCTTCTCTTGCATGTAAGAAAATGTGTAATTAGTATATTAAATATCACATGAAATATCTGTATGTTGCTTTCATATTGAATAACAAAAACATTTAAAAAAAAAAGAAAAAGAAAACTTTTTTTTCTGCTAACATACTTTTATTATACGTAAATAGGAAAAAAAAAAAAAAAAAAAAAAAAAAAAAAGACCATAAGTATTACTTTCATAGGCAACTAAAGTGAGTTTTGAAATTTTACTTTTTATATTTTTGGATATAATGTTAATTTAGCAATTTTATGCTGATTTCATCTATGGTAATAAGATAATAACATCGTAAAATGTCCTGAAGAGAATTAAACACGCAAATAAGAATGTAGTACTTGATTTCCATAGCTAGCACCCTTTTTCCTTGCCCATTAGTGCGAAATATTTTTTACCGATTGGTCACCGTTTGTGCACTGGTTACCCCATAGTTACAGGCGAGGTCCAAAAAATAATAAATAATTTCAATATTTGCTGGTGCTGCCATCTAGTCCTTATGTGTGATACTAATTTACGTACCTTAATTATTTCAGCGTAATGCATGCCTTTACAATTAAGCTGGATAATTTTAAACAACCTTATTAAAATAGAAAGTATATTGATGCAAATTAAAAATTCATGTTTTAAATACTTTTGCATGGATACTTCATTGCAATTAGATTATAAAGAAGGTTTCCGGCAAAAAATTAATTATTTTTCAAAAAATACTCTTAACCCTAAAGTAAACTTTTGAAGGTCTTATCTTCTGAAACAATAATAATAATAATAATAAAAAACTTTGAAGTCTACCAGAATAATATTTACGGAAATAGTTCTTAATTTGATATCTAACGAATTAGCATCTGAAACTATAAATTAAACTAATGGAATAAATTCTTTGAATGTTATTTCTAAAAAAAGGAAGGCGAAGAAGCTCTGATTATTTAGCTAAACTCTAATACCTTTACACTACATTTTACAAGTTATTAAAAATTGCATAACATTTTAACATTAAAAGTTCATGTTCGTATACAGGGTGTTCGTAAAAGGTGATTACGGATTTCGGACTTTTTATGTTATAGCAAAAGACATGCTACATAGTTTCCTATAGAAAGCATAAGCACCACACTGCAACCTATTTCGAATGGGGTATTTCTTTTATTTATTTATTTGTTTTAAATAAGAAACAAATTTTATAAGCTATTTATTTCAATACACTAAGAATGGAAAATAACGACACACTTTATAACTTTTAATTGACAACAATTACCTTCGAAACAGTAACACTGTTAAAAGAGATCATGAGAACAACACATTTAATTTAAACCACTTTAATTTTATAGAAATGTTTTTGGAGCGTAATGTACTATATAGCATGAGCTTTCAATTACGTACTTTTAGAAATAAGGTAGAAAGTTTTTTATAAATCAGTTCGGTAACATGGGTGAGAGGATTCTGTATCTTCAAAGTCTTTTTTATGTAATCCTCGTTGAGCATTTGGTTAGAATATGGTTTGTTTCATTATGGCAAAGCAAGCGGGAACTTATTAAGGGAAACTGGCTCGTATCTACAATAGTATGTTGCACACGAGGAAAAACATGAAAACGCGCATGTAGCCAGCCCGTTTTTTGCTCGGTGAATGGCGGGCTTCTAGTAGAGCAAAAATTCCAATCAGTAATATATTCGTTACACTTTCATGAGTTGAACTTAAAAATTTCCACACATTTGCGTGAAAAATTTGAGGCGATATTCAGTCTTCTCAAAGAAATTAATTTACGGATTTATCTCACTTTTCAATGCGCATGTCTAAGAAAATGAAATATTCTTTGCTCAGATTTTGAGAGAAATTGCAAAAATACATTGTTCATTTTACCAATTAACGATGTGCCTAGAGTAAAATAGACCACATTATTAAATTTTTAGTTGTCTCTCATAAAGTTATTAATTGCATATATCTTTGTGAATTTCACACGCAATGATAAAAATTTCTTGCGTTTAACTTATTAAAGCACAATATATACTTTTACAGCTTAGTTTTGAATTACGGAGCCATGGTTCTGTGTTGAAACTGTTTAAAATTTGTTATCTTACTTTGAAAAATAATATAACTGAAATTATATGTCTAGGATATATATTTAAGAAAGTAAATATCTCTCTTGGCTACTTAAAGACATAACATCTTAAGCAATTTTTTATTATTCTGTACACGTACGTGTTATGTATATAAATCAAAATCGCGTCATTTGCATATATATTTATTTACTTAATATACAGAGTGGTTATAAATAATGGAGCATACGAATTTGGAATTTTAGTGACGAATAGTAAGTGACCTAAAACGAAACTATCTATTTGTGTTGCATCAAATAATATAGCAGTTCAAATGTTTTCAATTTTTTTGGATCATTTAATGGTATATATATATATATATATACCATTAAATATATATATTAGAAAAATAAATTACCCAGACTGATATTCACTTTCTCGCTCTATGCTTATCAGCATTTTGTTCGTTATGGTTTTAATAATTATCTCGGTTTTTTGTTTAAATTCAAAAACTTAATCATGTGCTTAAACATGACCTTTTACAAATTAAAGAAACTTAGGGGTATAAGATGGAGAGATTTCTTGCTTATCTCGATCTCCACAGCACTTCTAGACTTCTTTACAGGGAAAGGGGGTTGTTGAAAAGCAACGTTTACGCAACAAATTTGTTAACTTTCGGGTTAACTAATTTGTAAAACCAGAAATAAAGTACATGTGAAATTCATGTTCATATTTTATAAAATAATTTATTGAAAAATATTCGGAAACTTTCGATAATCATTTGACTTTTATTGGATATAAAATTAAAGTTTTGATCTCAGATGACTACATAGTTTTAACGGAATTTACCGACTTAACGAAAAAAAAAAAAAAAATCTGAGGCTTCGAAAAATCGCTATTTTGTTATAGGGCACATTATTCCTGGATTACAGATATTCAGCATGCGTTATATAGATTTGTTTTGTGTAAGCAATGGGTTTAAAAAAAAAAAATTCTCCACCTTCCTTTTTTTTTTTTTTTTTTTTTTTTTCCCTCAAGATTTCATGTTTTAAAGTCAGAAGAATCTCTGCAAACATTATTTTTTAAGAATTCGCATATTTATGTGCAATGTCTATTCGCAAATTTATGTGCAATGTAAAATGGCAAGAGTAAGTTAAACCATTGCTCATTGTCTTTGAAGATATTCACTCATTACAAACCGGTTACTTAAAAGTACACTGGTGTGTAAAAATTAAGGACGAGACGGTTTTTTCAATATAACTTTGTACAAAAGCTTTCCAAATCAACACATTTAATACCGTAAGATCCCCAATACGTAAGGACATGAGTAATGTAAGCAAACACTTATACTAAAAGAGAAATCAGAGGGATAAAAAGAAGCTTTATTGAAAATGTAGCATGGAGCGCAATGCGACTGAAGGCCGAAACATCCCTGTGATGGGTGTCCAGCAAGAAACATCCGGTTTTTAATAGGGGATATGATCTCCCCTGACTGCTAGGCAGGTTTCACAGCGTTTGCCCATGCTGAGAATGAGGGTGTCAATGAGTTGTTGAGGCATTGCTGCCCATTCGTCTTGCAGCGCCAATCGAAGCTCGGGAATCGTTACTGGTGGTAAGGTACGAGCTGCCAAGCGTCTGTCTAGAAAATCCCATACATGCTCGATGGGATTGAAATGCGGAGATCATGCCGGCCAATCCATACGTTCAATATCCTCACTCTCTAAGAGCTGTTCGGCAGCTACTGTGCGATGACATGGTGCATTGTCGTCCATGAAAAGGAACTGCGGACCCCATAGCGCCTCTAAAAAGACGCACATATGGAAGAAGAATCTCGTTACAATAACGGGTCCCGTTGACTGAACCTGCGTCGAAGATGTGAAGGTCTGTACGACTACCAAGCATGATGCCTCCCCAAACGAGAACAACCGCCAACCTCCATACCTGTCCCTTTCAATGATGTTCGAGGGATGATTGCGGCTTCCCCGCTCTCTCCAGATGAGTATGCGATGAAAATCGCTACTCAGACTGAATCTGCTCTCATCTGTAAAGAGTACTCGTCCCCATTCATTGTCTCTCCAATTCCGGTTTTCCGGCACCACAGAACGCCTTCTCCGATGGGCAGGCGTTAGAGGTACACACCGTACAGGGCGTCGTGCAAACAGACCACCACCGTGCAGTCTTCTGGCCACGGTAAAAACGGGATATCGGTCGTCCAGTTCGCCTGTGTCGTGTGTCTAGCGATTTCTCCCGCTGTCTGCCGCCTGTTTCTTCTGGCCTGTAAGGCAATATACCGGTCATCTGTGGGTGTGGTTCCTCGTGGACGACCACTACTAAACCCCCGGATAGCTGTTCCTGTAGTTTGGAATTGTCTCCAAAGTCGTGAAACGATGCTGTGAGCAATTCCGAACGCTGCAGCCACACTTGTCACACTGCGACCTTCCTCCAACTTCCCAATGATTCGACCTCGGGTAAAAGCATCCAGATGTCGTCTAACACATTGATTATTCGCCATTTCTCGCTGAGGCAGCAACTCGGTGTGATTTTAGCTGCTATACGGCGTGCAATCTCTTTGCCAGAAAATACTGATCTTACACCGACAACATGCTTTATACTACTCAGACATTCCCCCATTACGTCTACCTGCATATCTGCGCATGTGCTACCGTACATCACCTTACTTAATCTCCTGATTGGTCTTTCTGTCCGCTTTGCCTCTTCGTTCAGCTGATATGCTAAATTTTCGACTTTGTCTTTAATTTTTGCACACCAGTGTACATTCAAGTTTTAACTCAAAATCCGAAGCGTTGTAGATAAATGAATTCTTTACACGTGTTAACCACATAAGCTCGGAATTAGCTTTAAAAGATAATTCAATATGTACCCAGAGGCAGGGTTTTACGTTAAAAGGAAACATTTCTATATTCGTAATCTGTTTTACTATCAAAAAAGTTTGCATGTGTCATAATATCTAAAATAGAGGTCGATCGTGTAAAGTTTGTACCATGAGACTAGACAACATTGAACTTCTTTCTTAATTATCAAGGAGTTGATTGCCATTAGTAGTTGAGAAATATTGTTTTGGACAGGAGTTGTCTTAACTGAAACCGAATAGATTTTTTTCCTTACCGGAATATCGGCCACTTCACGAATCACTTGAGGTACGTAATCTACCCACAGTTCTCTGCTAATTGTGTGGGCTATTTTCTCTTTCAGTTGTTGGGTGAAAGCGTAGCCTTTCTTCACTTTGACGAAAAGTACAGCTCTTGTGTCTCCATCGTCTCTGTCCTGACCCACGCAAATGTAGTCCTGTAGCTCCTCTATGTTGTGAACTAATGAAATGCAGAATGGACATTTAGATGTTTTACAGTAATAATAAATACAGTCAGGAAAAAACAGGAAAATGCAATACCAGCAACATAGCATTGTTATAGATTTATTTATCATGTTTTGTGAAGCTACTTGAGAAAATTTTATTTCGATCATCAGGTCAGGCATGTTTAGTCTTTTAAAATGCAGAGGTGTATCAACATGATCAACAAAGATCTCTCAAGGACCTTAAAGTGAATTTAATATTAATGAATGGCTACTTTGTGTTCCATGTATTACTGTGATAAAATTATACCTCTCTTTTAATGCAAAAGATTAGAAAAAATATAAATAAATGTATAATTTTTATGTGAACAATCATCCTGTTACTTGAATACTAGTAATAAGTCTGGATAGACAGATGTAGTAGCAATTCCGTGGAGTATATCCAACACGTTTAGCTTGAAATTTCGTATCTTATTCTATGTTTTCTGTATTTATATTGGAGGAAAATGGTTGCTTATGATTTCAGAAAGCTGCGTCATCTATGCTTAAAAGTCATAGTCAGCTGCCTAGGGTGGCGATTTTTTAAAGCGTCATAGCCGTTTTCGCAAGGAACAAACTAAATATATATTTTGCTTTGAATTATTAATTTGTTTAATTTACACGGGGAGAGAGTGAGTGAGTGCACCGCTATGATGGCTTCCGACCACGGACATGAACCAGACGTAATTATATACCATCACGGCGGGAAAGACTCCAGAGTAACAAGGTTGAATATTATAAACTAATAATAGTTTTTACATATGTTAACTGCAAGGCACTAAGCGTTATTCTGGTTATCTGCTTTAAGTTCTGACTTTTGAAACATTATAATATTATCCCGGTTGTTTCTGCTTAGGCATGTTTCTGAGTTTTCTCTATTTTTATCAAGGGCTATTCTGTTTTTGAGTGTGTTAGTCTTCCACATTGCCCAGGCACAGTCCGCTGGTTTCTTCAAGTGCCAGGTTCTTGTATGTACACAATGGAAGTAATAAGAATTTCAGAAAGCTGCGTCATCTATGCTTAAAAGTCATAGTCAGCTGCCTAGGGCGGCGATTTTTTAAAGCGTCATAGCCGTTTTCGCAAGGAACAAACTAAATATATATTTTGCTTTGAATTATTAATTTGTTTAATTTACACGGGGAGAGAGTATAAAGTGTATGATTTCAGAAAGCTGCGTCATCTATGCTTAAAAGTCATAGTCAGCTGCCTAGGGCGGCGATTTTTTAAAGCGTCATAGCCGTTTTCGCAAGGAACAAACTAAATATATATTTTGCTTTGAATTATTAATTTGTTTAATTTACACGGGAAGAGAGTGTAAAGTGTACACAGAGTGTATAAAAAATGCTGGAGCCAGGTCTGTGCATCATGGTTTGGTTTATTTGATTATGTAAGAAAAGTTATTTTTAGTTTTAAACTAACCAGTTTTTTCAGTTAAGTAGCTTTTCTATCTTTCATAATTTCCATTTTCTGCCAGAATGTTATTTCAGTTTTGCGAGGAAATGCAAATTTAGGTAAGATACCAGTAAAGCTGGCGTCTGAGTTGCTTCAGACATAGAGTGTTGGCCATGTTGTTTCGCTGATATCTAAGCTTGCTATTTTACGGCCGTGCACATTAATTGCTGCCGGTTTGTCTACATCGGTGGTAGAGCTAAGAGCCAATTCGCGTTAATCAACTCTGTGCAGCTTCGGTTGATTATTTAACTTAGGTTTAATTTTATATTTCTAGTTTGAGTTGCAGCTCGAAGTATTGGCTTAGATTGTAAGCACCAGGACTGCAGACTATAAATCCTTCTTGAAGGGCCTTTTCACCCTTATCACGTATTGTCGTTGAAAAGGTTTGAATTTAGCGAATAGTCACTAAGTACTTCAAGTAATGTTCTAGCCAGCAATTTTAAGTTAATTTAGCTACAATCTTATATTTGGCGCCCGAAATATTTCGAACCATATCACTGGAAAGTGAAAAATTTACTTTGGCTCCTTCAAGTTCCCACTGGCACCAGTGAAACCCCACGTTGTATCTTCTGTATAATTAAAAAGTGAAAAAATATAGAATGTTTTCAATTAGATATATTATGAATTAAATGTATTTATATTTAAATTAATCAGATTAAAAAGTAAACGAAAATAATACGCTTACGAATTGCATCTATTGCTTTTAAATTGCTTAGTTTGCTAATTAATAATAGATAGATTAAGTATGAAAGAATTTTTCCGAATGGCAGAAGACTCGAATGAAAAGTGAAACAACGCAAAATCGCGTATCTAGTTAATAGCCCTTTTGAGATATAAAAACAAAACTTGCGGTAGCAGGAGTGATTCCAAGAACAGACTGGTAAAGTACGAGTTCAGCGAGAGCATAAAAAACCTTAACAAGCCATCCGGTACAACTTTAAATTATGAATTCTTTGATATTTTCTTTACTTTTTTGCTTGGCCACAGGAAATGTTAATGCGAATTGTTATCACGAAATTAATAGTAGTTCGTGAAATTTCACATATCCTTACACAGGTCTCAGAACTTTTTCTACAGTAAAATTACTATCGCACTTATCAAATATGAGACAACTAAAGCAGAGGACGGAAAGTTTATTTAACTATGTTAAAAGAATATGT